CAGAGGGCACAGAATGCTTGTTCACCGAGTTGGACTCACACATGAAGATAAAGACAGTGGTAGTGAGGCCGCCATGTTGAAGGGTCCTGCCCAGAGCCTCTGGGCTGCTGTTCCAGGCGATACAAACTTTGTGGTTTTGGGTGGAAACTCATTCTGCCACAGTTCTCAAGACATAGACCATCAGAAGAAGAGGGAGTGGGCAGAGAAGGAGGGGGAGAGTATGCAGAGGAGGGGGGGAGTATGCAGAGGAGGAGGGGGGAGGGAGTATGCAGAGGAGGAGGGAGAGTATGCAGAGGAGGAGGGGGAGTATGCAGAGGAGGAGGGGAGAGTATGCAGAGGAGGAGGGGGAGTATGCAGAGGAGGAGGGGGAGTAGGTAGAGGAGGAGGGGGAGAGTATGCAGAGGAGGGGGGAGTATGCAGAGGAGGGGAGAGTATGCAGAGGAGGGGGGAGTATGCAGAGGAGGGGGAGTATGCAGAGGAGGGGGGGAGTATGCAGAGGAGGAGGGGGAGAGTATGCAGAGGAGGAGGGGGAGTATGCAGAGGAGGAGGGGGAGTATGCAGAGGAGGAGGGGGAGAGTATGCAGAGGAGGAGGGGGAGTATGCAGAGGAGGGGGAGTATGCAGAGGAGGAGGGGGAGTATGCAGAGGAGGAGGGGGAGAGTATGCAGAGGAGGAGGGGGAGTAGGTAGAGGAGGAGGGGGAATAGTCAGAGGAGGGAGGGGGACCCTTCCTGAGCCTTGATTCCTCCCTGGGTAGAGTGCTTGGTTTCTCCCTGCCTCTTTAGTCTCCCATAGGCTACCACCTTCTCTCTGCTCAGACTTCAGCAAACAGGGCTCATAGCCCAATGGCTGCCCCTGAGGGATGCAGGACTTCACCTTAGCTTCCCTGTTTTTACAACCCTTTCCAGTGACAATACTTCTCCATGTGAAGAGCCAGGCAGCCAAGAGCCTTTTTGCTACAGGTGGGAAATTAGGGGTGAGAGAGAAAAGTTGGTGATAAGGCAAGCTTTGGGGAATGCTAATCTGGGGAGGCTGGCTGGTGTCTGCCACCATGAAGGGGCTGGGCCTGGTCTGAGTGCTGGGCCTGTGGTGTAGCCCTGTGTTCTGTTTTTGTTGTTGTTGTTGTTGTTGTCAATTTGACAAATATTTGGCAAGAATTTCCAAATAAAACCTGACAAAAGCTTTAAAAGGGATTCTGAGCACAAAATAACCAAGCAGGGCCTCTTGGTAGCAGCATTTCCTTGGGTGGGCTCTGTTTGCTTGTGAGGATTGCCAGGGTCTCCACTCTGAAGTTAAGGACTCCGGTTACGATTTTGGCACTCAACTCAGGAGAACAGAGTAGTTACGGATGTCAGCCACTCAGAGCATGTTGATCCCAGATGGAGAGGGAAGACTGGAAAATGCCACCCAGATGCTGAAGTGACCTCGTGTCCGGAAGACTTTTCTTAACTTTCCCACTCTACCAGGTAAAGCCAAGAAATAAGATGTTAGGCTTTGCTTTAGACTCAAGAAAGTTTGGCACCTGGTAAATTTCTTCCCACTCTGGGCACCTTAGGCTTTGCCGTCCTTCTGTTCGGAGGCTCCTTTGAGCCGAGTGAGTACTTTTTAAACTGTTTTGGAGACTCTGGTCAGTGTCCCCCGGAGCTGCTTGCACTTCCTTGGACTTCTGGGGTGAATAGCAGGTCTTAGCCACCCGAAAGCTCTTTTGAGCAAGGTTGGAATTCTGTTGGATCATTCGGGCATCTGCTGACCAAGGTTGATACATGTTGATACCTGCCAGGGAAGGCTAGTACGTGTTGGTCTTTGGAGGTCTTTATGGAGCCATTTAAGGTTCTGTTGGGGACATTAGAGAATAGGGAGACAAGGGTGTCCAGGGCCTCCCTGCCAAACCATGGAAAATAGCAAGTCTATCCTGATGTCATCTGGGGTACAGATACAGGTTCACTTTCTCAGATGATTAAAGAACCAAAAGGCAAAAGCAGGGAATGCGAAGTTTCTTAATTCCTTTGCTACTGCCATAACAAAACACCAGGGCCAAGGCAACTTGTAAAAAGAAAGAATTCCATTGTGGACTTGCTTGCAGTTTCCTTTAGCATGGGTCCTTTAGCATGGTAGCAGGCATGCACAGCACTGGACCAGTAGCTGAGAGCTTACAACTGATGAGAGAGAGAGAGAGAGAGAGAGAGAGAGAGAGAGAGAGAGAGAGAGAGAGAGAGAGAGAGAGAGCGCTGCAATGGCTTGGGCTTTTGAAACCTCAAACCCCACCTACAGTGACACGTCTCTGATATGGAATGTCCTTCTGCTTGCTGCCAATATGTATTGCTTTTATTGGATGAATAAAGCTGTTTCTCCCAGTGGCCAAGCAGACTATAGACAGGCAGGAAATCTAAACAAAGATGCAAAGAGAAGGAAGGTGAAGTCAGGGAGATGCCATGTAGCTGCCAAAGGAGTAGCATGCTGGAGCATTACCATTAAGCCACAGCCTCGTGGCAATACACAGATGAATAGAAATAGGTTAATTGATAAGAGAGAGCTGTGTCTGAGCTACTGGCCAAAACAATTATATTTAATTGTATTTCACAGTCGGTCACAGGAACTGATCTGATGGGCATGACAGAAAAAAATCCCATTACACATCTCCTCCAATGAGGCCACACATCATAAACCTTCCCAAAATGGGAGCCGTTCTCACTCAAACCACCACGGAAGTCAAATTTTATTCAAGGTGGAAGTAAGGGAAGCAGACTCCCCTCGAGAGGAGGGAGCCAGAAGCAGAACCTACATTTTCCTCAGCCAGGGGATCAGTTAGCTGGGGGTTCCCTTCTGGAGGGCTCTGCTACAGTTGTTAAATGGGGCACTTAGAGTCATGACCCCTGCTTCTTAAAGACACTGGGGAGCAAACTGATGAAGGGAAACAGACTCACTACAGGTCAGTCAAACCCAGGAGAAAAGTTCCCATTTGTCTGTGGCCTTTTCCACGGCGGCGTTAGAATCCTATAGCAGATGTGTGTGGTGGTTTGACTAAGAATGGCCTCTATAGCCTCCTAGATTGGAATGCTTGGTCATGAGGGAGCCAGCTACCTGAGAAGGATTAGGAGGTGTGGCCTTCTTGGAAGAAGCGTGCTGCTTATGGGTGGGCTTTGAGGTTTCAAGAGCCCAAGCCAGGCCCAGTGGCTCTGTCTCCTGTTGCCGTGGATCCAGATCTAGAACTCTCAGCTCCCTCTCCAGCACCGCGCCTGCCTGCACACCACCATGCTCCCTGCCATGATGACAATGGACTAAATCTCTGAAACTGTAATGCAGCCGCAATTAAATGTTCTCCTTTGTAAGAGTTGCGGTGGTCATGGTGTCTCCTCACAGCAATAGAACACTGACTAAGACACTACGTAACACAAGCCAGGAAATATACTATGTCAGCCTAAGCTAGCAGAACGTTGTGGGATCTCTTCTGGGGAGGCAAGTCCTTGCTGTGGCTGGCATCAGGGTGTTAGCCTTTCCCTTTACCCAGCATGGGATTCCTGGGAAATTAATTATTTGGGGTCCGTCATTTCGGTGGTCCGATAATAGAAGTCACTCTCTTTGTAGTATCTTCTCTCCTGTCCGGTTGGTTACAGTGTACGCCTACTGCCTATTCTGAGCTGTGATGGCCCTGGCATTCCCTCTCTCCCCACTTCCTGGTTGCACTGGACTAAGGCAACCTGAAGAGGTGGCCAAGCCCTCGGGTTATAGCAGTGCAAGGCACAGCCCCCTGGGCAGCCTCATGATCAGCCCCAGGCTCTCCTCCAGCCTGAGGGATCTCTGCATGAATTGGGACTGAGTGCCTCTATACCCTCCCCACCCCTGAAATCAGCTTATAAGGGAAAGACCTGCAGGAAAAGACCATGCAGGACAGCCAGTGCTGCACACCCAGTCTGTGACCTTCCTGCTGGCCTCAGCTAAATCTTCTCAGTAAGTACTTCACCATCCTCCTCTTGAGTCTTCAGGGCGGGCATTGCCAGCTTCCATCCCTTGGGCTCAACATCCACATCCATACCTGGTAAACCGAAGCACCCAGCTCTTCTCCTATGGACAGAGTCAAGAGAACAAAGGTCTTGCTTTGTGTTCTCAACACACAATAGGCCCACAGTGTGTGCTGGTAAGGGCTGGGCTGGTGACCTGCTTTGGGTCCTGTGCCTCTGGCCTTCCCCGGTTCTCTCCCCATAGAGAGGTGAGAAGCCACCATGTGCAAATTCACCACCCCTCCGCAAGCAGGCACCTGATATGCCTTGGGAATCCTTCTTAGGGTTACCCATATTGAGCCAGAGACCCAGCCATGGGTGTAGCGAGTCTACAACCATATACAACCCTATCTTAGAGGAGAAAGAAGACTTTTTCAGCTCTGGATTTTCAGAGCTGAATTCCAGAGTAGAGTGTGGTCCTCAGCCTTTTCTCCCTTTAGCTCACTCTCCTGCCCCGGGGCCACTCTGATCTTAGAGAGAATTCCTAGTGAGATATCCTAGTGAGAATTCCAGAGCCTCAAGGGACAAATGTGTTCACTAATTCTGGGATAGTGGGGCTCCCCTCTGTCCCTCTTTTGGATTCATGGGCCTTGGCTAGTCCTAACTGTTGCCAGTTTGCTAAGCCCAGGACTCCACTTCCTCCGTGAGTGTTGTCTGTGATATGTCTGCATTATTTCATTTACCCCTCACCTACCTCATTTCAAAGATGAGATTTCGTGTGTGTGTGTGTGTGTGTGTGTGTGTGTGTGTGTGTGTGTGTTTGTGTGTCACAGTCATTAGAAGCAGAGTCTAGACTAGAACCCTAGTCAGTTGTCATCCTTTCTGTCCCAGAAACTGTGACTCAAGAGTTTGAAGGCACAAAGCATATTCATTAGAGTAAATGGTGTTTTATACTGAGAAAGTACTTAGGGAATTTGAGCACATGGTCGTGGTTGCTTTCACATGTAGGAACCTTCATGGGCCTTGACTTAGGACTTGTGTCCCCGTCTCTGTCTTGCAGGACAATGTTATCCCTTATCTCCCGGGGACTCCTTTTGCTAGCAGGCCTGTGCTGCCTTTTCTCTGGCTCCCAGCCTCAAGATCCCCTGGAAATAGACGTGGATGAACATGACCATGAACACCAGGAGCATTTGCCCTGCCAACACATCTCCTACAGCATCATCCAGTTGACCTTCATTTTGTATCGGAAGTCTGGTAGTTGGACAGAAGATGCCAACATCTTATTCTCCCCAGTAAATATCATTGCTGCTTCTTTAATGCTTTCCCTGGGAGCCAAGGACAACACCCACAACCAGATCCTGCAGGGACTGAAGTTCAACATCACAGAAATACCAGAGACCTACATTCATTCCTGCCTCCAACAGCTTCTCCATATCCTCCACCTGCCAGATCACAGGCCACATCTGACCATCGACAGTGGCCTATTCACTGACAAGGGTCTGAAGCTGGTAGACAAGTTTGTGAATAACATCAAAGAGATATACCACACAAAAACCATTGCTGTCAACTTCAAGGACACAGAAAAAGCCCAAAATCAGATCAATAAGTATGTGGAAACTGAAACCCAAGGGAAGATAGTGGATTTGGCCAAGGATCTGGAGGAAGACACAGCTTTAGCCTTGATGAACTACATCGTCTTCCAAGGTAAGGTGGGACCACCAGGGTTAGTGGCCTCGAGGAAGCCACCCAAATATGCCTCGTGCTGCAATACTTAACCCTTTCTTCACATACCAGACTGGAACAGGCAGCATCACAACATGATCTTCAAATCTTCACTCAGAAATAGTTCAGTAACATCTATAAATCTCTAAATTGGTTAGATACTGATGGGTTAGAGTCAGCCAGAGCACCATCTCCTCTGAGTTACGCCTTCACCATCTTAGTGGTGCCAGAATCCAGTGCTCACAACTTCACTGGAACATTAGGAGATGAGAAACTATAAAATAAGAATGCCTTGCCTATCGTAGTATTGTAATGTATAGAAAAAAAATGATGCAAAAGGCAAAAAACACACATTTTCAGAGTTAGCTGTGAGGTACGTATAGAACTGTGACACTGACCCTTTCCTGGAACATGGCTTCTTCCTCAGCTGCCAGGACTACAGATTAGTCTCCCCCCATCACTGGATGTCCTAGAGATATTTTAATCCCTCAGGGGCCCGGTAACATGTTAACAACTGTCTTGTTCACTCCTCAGTCTCAAGGGACTTGAGATGTTGTCCTATCTATTGTCAAACTTGTGTGGAAATCCCCTAGATATCCCTGTACCCAAAAGCAGTCCTTAGAAGAATACTATTAGGAACCAAAGTCCCAGTATCACTCAGAAGGACTTTTCCTTAGACCCATTTATGGCACAAGTAACTCCATTTGGGATGTCTCTGTGTTTGGTTTTGTTTTGTTTTGTTTTTTAACAGTGTCTCACTATCACCTAGGCTGACTTGGAACTCAAAGGTTGGTCATGACTTTACTTTTACTCTAGAAATCTTTCCCTTTTTCTCTATATGCTTTTCTCTGAACACAAGACTGCTTCACCACAATGAGGTTTGGTCTCAGTTGCCTTAGATGTCATTGCCAAAGTGAGATCTGTCCCAGTTAGGCTGATCTGAACTTGCAGCGGGAAGTCAAGGAGTGGATTCCAGGTGACCTTCTTGGCTGAGTTTAAGCAGCTGTGTGGTTTTGAAAGAGACCACTTAGGCTGGTTTGCCAGTAGCCCACTTTTAATTGAATTCAGTTTTACCCTTCCTGGAGCCTCTCAGAGAGCTTCCTTTTTAGGATATTTTGTTAGAAGCCATTCGCCCATAGACGAGGAATTGCAAACTCACTCTAAGAAAATTTAGCAATTTCCAAAGCAATCTACTCTTTTATTGCATGCAACATTGCACCAGGATTTCCCAGACTCCCGGTGTCCAGTGGTTTTAATGAGTAATGCGGCTGCTTGGAATGCAGAGCCTAGAGGTACGGTACAGCTAATTATCTGTGCTCCAAACAATGTTCAGAGTAGAATTGGGATCACGTGTGAGACTGGAAAGGCTGCCATGATGGCAAGTTTTAGTTTGAATGATAGTAGATTAGTAAAGTGTTTTCCTAAGCTTCAGTCTTAGGAGCCTTCCATGCTGGTAGACCGGAAGTGCACAAAGAGGCCAGTAGTAATTAGTGCAGATGATTTTTAGTACTAATTTAGCTTTTGCTTCTGAAGTGCAGTTTAACATGTTTAAAGTTTTAGACTCCAGACAGGATTAGGAACCAAAATGAATGGCCTTGAGTAGATTTCCTACTTGCAGTGGGAGCATGTGCCTTGTGTAAACAACAGCAGAATTGCTGACTGGGTTGAAGGAAATGGATGCAGACAAGGGTTTAAACCGCAAACAGGGACCTTCTATGTGAATGGTGTTGAGTTCAGATGGTAGAAATACCAACAGCTTTATTGACTATCTTGTGGGTTTAAGTATACCAACACACTGCATCAAAGATAGTACTGGCTGATTATTTTGCTTGTATTAACCTGTGAACCTTTAAATTCATATAACATTTAGACAAAGCTTATATATATGGCATATTAAGCCCTTAGACACAGGATAGAAGATAGATGGATAGATAGATAGATATAAATAGATGTTAGATAGATATAGATGATAGAGGTAGATAATAGAAATAGATGATAGATAGATAGATAGATAGATAGATAGATAGATAGATAGATAGGATAGGGATAGATATACAGACAAACAGATAGATTTCTGGTTACAGATATCTCTGTGCCAAACATGATACAAAATCCTAAAGAATAGATGTTGACTTAACCAGCATTATAAAGTAATTGTTTAGAATACATTAAAAACAGACAGTTTTTAAGTCCTTGTTCCCCTCAATATGAAAAGCTAATATATAAAAGGAGCTATGAGCTCAGGGTGACTCAGTGGGTAAAGGGCTGTGGTGAGAGCATGCAGACCCAAGTTCAGATCCTTGACATGCATGTAAAAGCTGGTGACTGACTGGAAGATGAAGATAAATAAATCCTGAGGGCTGCTGGCCAGTCTGGATGAGCCAGCAAACTCCAGGTTCAGTGTGAGACCCGTCTTAAAAATTAAAGTGCAGGAGCCAGATGGACGGCTGAAGGACTGAGAATGTGGGCAGTTCTTTCAGAGAATCAAAGTTGGGTTGTCAGCATCCACCTCGGGCGACTCACAGGCACCTGTTCCTATGCCTCCAGGGGATCTGACACCTTCTTCTGGCCTCCATAGGTGTCTGCACTCACATACACAGGCAGGTGTAGAAACACAGTAAAGTAAATAAGCAAAAGTAAATAAGCAAAATTGAAATTAGGGTAGAGGGTGCTAGAGGAGGATGCCCTGAAATCAACATTTGACTTTCACGCATACCTGTGGGCAAGTGCATCTGAACACATACATGCACACGCACAAACATACGTGCCCGTGGGAGGCAGAGGTGAGTGGGTCACTGTGAGTTGGAGGCGAGCCTGGCTACAAAGTAAGACTCTGTCCCAACAAACAAGAACCTCTAGAATGACTCCCTTATCTTTTTTCCTTCTTCTTGTTCTTCCATGTATCACCTGGGACGATCCTCATAAAATTTCTGGTTTCTTTCCCTTTTAACAAAATCAAGCATTTTCCATTTATCTTACAAGTTTAATTAACTGAACTATCAAAGATCTACCTAAGTCACATGAACCAGGAGATGTTTGGGAGACCTTATCTAGTACAATATACAAGCATGCACATGTGTGTGGATTGAATAGCTGAGTTCCCCACCTCCAGGGCCACATATCTCCCACAGCCTGTATTTGGGGGTAAGTATCATTACCTTATTTAATAAGGATACCATTTTAAAAAATCAACCTCTTTTTCTATTACCAATCTGGTGAGTTTTATTTATTCATAGCCAATGTTATATAAATGAGGAAGAGGAAAAATCCATGTGAATAAGACATGCCCCCAAAAGCTGAGGCCATACCCCCATTATCCTAAACACGGGGCTAGCTTGCCATGACCAGTCTAAGTGTCTTCCCCTGGAACCCTTTCTCCTGGATGGCTTGCCAAAAGTGTTATTAGAATCTGAAGGTGACTGTCGCCACTTCGCCAGGAAAATGGGAAACAAAGCTTGGCCGAAGCAAATGACTTCATTTACTGTCTTGGCTGGAACTGGAGGGAGAAGAATCTCTATGTCTTTCTTCTGCCTTACCTGTACAGCGTCACAGTTAATGGGAGACAAGAAGCCCGGAAGTATTCATACGTAGGTTGGCTTCAATGTGTGTCATCAGAACTGAGACTGATCATTTTCTAGAAGATGGCTTCCTCCTGATGCCAGGACTTCCAGCTAGTCTCTTTACCAGCATGAGGCTCTCTGGGGAAATTTTAATTCCTTGGGAACTCTGTTACACTGTGATACCCAGGCTCACTGGAAATCCCTAAAAGAGGTTTGAATACCAGATACATGACATTTCCTTGGTTGTCAGGCATGTATGCAAATTGCTTCAGGTGGCATAGAACAAGTGGTGTTTTGGGTGACTTAATCTGGTAAAGTTTGGAGTAACTGAACAGAGGCAGCAATAAAGTGTGCAAGACCTGGGTTCAAATTCTGTCCCAAAGATGCTTCGTATCCTCCAGGGAGTATTCACTCAGAAGGCGGGGGATGCGGTCAAGGCCATGGCTGTACCTTTCTATCATACTCCCTACACTGCAGCACAGAGCACCAAGGAAGGCATCAACACAAGAAAGACCCCGCCTCTGTTACCATGTTGGAGTTGTGTAGTGTCTGTCCAGTGCTAGGAAGGCTCAGGGCTCCCCAAGGTCCCTACCCTCTCTGACAACCTTGTACAGAACACTTGTACAGAAAAGAGGGTCTTCCTAGGTACATGCCCTTATTGAGGGCCTGAGACAGAGATCCAAAGGTGCTCACTAGACTTTTCCAGAATGCCGACTGAAGCAACACCTACAAGGTGCAGGAAGCTGCCAGAAAAGAGATACCCAGATTTGACATACAGGATTGTAGGAGATTGTGGCTATGACCCCTTGTCTCCAATTAGCATCCTCAGAAGACTACCAGGAGAATATGAAATAAAACTGCTTCTTCTGGAGCCAGGTTTCCACAAACTAGCACACATATTTCTCTTGGCTCCTGCCTACTGCTTCAGACTGTTCTCTAAAGTGCTACCAAGCATCCCGATGGGTTCATCATCCCCATCCCATTTTACAGCTCAGAGGGAGTGCCTTCACAAGGCACTCAACATGTCTTTCCTCTAACATGTAGCTAACCCTTGACCCCACCACTGGCTGATATGCATCTCCCTTCTCTCCAGGCAATGGGTTTGATGAAGTTGATGTTGAACACAAATTGGAAGCCGACTTCCACGTGAGCCAGAACGAGACCGTGAAAGTGCCTATGATCAATCGCCGGGGCAGGTTTTTCTTGCACCGCGAGGAAGAGCTGTCCAGCTGGGTGTTGGTAAATCATTATATGGGCGATGCCACTGCCTTCTTCATACTGCCCGACCAAGGAAAGATGCAGAAGCTAGAGGAAAACTTGAGTCAAAAACATTTCATAAATATATTAAAGCTCGTCGACATACGGTGAGTCCTCAGTTGAGGGACCCAGGCACTGCTACACAGCCTCTGAGCCATCCCTTTCAGGTCTGGCCCCCATCCCTCAACCAGAGCTCATAGACAGACACAGTGTAGGACTGGCTAAGAGACAGACACAGAGTCTCTTGGGCAAAGGCATGTCTCCATCCTCAGCAGCCAGAGCCCATCACAGGGCTTTCAACAACAGCATCTATAGCAGCAGAGGCAAAAACAGAGAGACAGGTCTTAGGCCTCAGCGTGGAGTGGAGGTCATGACAGACAAGGGAGGAAGGGCCTAGAACAGGCGAGGGCCAGCCACAGTGAGCTCAGAGCATGACTAAAGAAGGCTATGTTCCTGTCACCCTTCAGTGAGGTTTATTGGGCCCCGGGGAGCCAACAGTTCTGGAATGTGCCCCTCCACCTCCAGATCACTGAGCCTGCTCTTAGGGAGGCCAGGCCCTGCTTTCCCTTGGGTGGCAAAAGCAATGATACACATAGGAGCTCAGATGGGCTCAAGGTAAACTGTGGACAGATGTTGTCTCAGGGCCCAGCCTGCTGAGGCCCATCACCCAACAGAAAGCAAAGAGTCAAGTGGGGTAAAAAGAAACTGGTGATAGCCTCCGGGTTGGTCTGTTCCCATAGCGTAGACCATCTAGGGTCCCTGTCTTGTCTGTGGAAACTGAGGGCTGAGCCTCCTCCTGGGGAGTCACACACACAAGTCTCAGAACACATTGAATCTCCCTGGAGGCCTTCCTAGATGAGGTAGGTTGCCTACCAGGATGAGAAGACACTGTTGATGCACTATGACACTAAAGAACTTCATATCTCCCTACATCCCAGGACTGTCAATTTATACTTTCCTGAACTGTATATGTCCACAACCTATGACCTGAAGACCATCCTGAGCACACTGGGCATCACCCAGATCTTCAGCAATGAGGCCGACCTCTCAGGGATCACACAAGATGTTCCCCTGAAGCTTAACAAGGTGAGGTCATGTGACCATGGCTGTCCATGGGGCTGAATAGGATGTGAGGACAGATCAGACATGAGGCTGAGGAAGGGGCTAAGGGACAGAAACAGACCTTTCCCCACAGACTCTAGAGATTCACCACGGGGAATGAAGGGTCAGAGAGCAGAGCCAGGATGAAGAATCGTACGCTGTCACAAAGACCTCCTTGAAGGGCACTTAATGACCCTTAATTTTACCTTTGCCCAGGGCTGTTGATTCCCTGGGACTCAACTTACCTATATTAATATGGAAAGACATTGGCTCAGATCATCTTCAAAAGTTTGTCTCAGCACACACTGGGAAGGAACCATGTTTATGGGGGACATGAAGTACGGGGGGGTCCCTCTGAAGCTGAGTGTAGGAGAGGTGGTTCAGGAGAGGAGAGGAGAGGAATCTTGGTACAGAACGGCTGAACACATCTGGAAAGGCCTCTACTGAGCACTAGGGATCAAGGGCCATGGGCAGGGCATGATCACAGTGAGGCTCTCCATGGATAAGAACCCCAAAGGGACCTGGCTTTAACCTAGGATGGCTATAGCCTACCTCTGATGTCCTCTGTTTCTCACCCTATAGGCTTTTCACAGGACTGTACTGACCTTCAATGACGAAGTGAAACACACTACAAGAAACAGCAGTTTGAGTAAAAGGGGCTTGTCTAAGGTCCCCGTCATCCGTTTCAACAGGCCCTTCATAATTATCGTTAAAGACGAATACACCAATGTCCCCCTCTTTGTGGGAAGAGTGGCAAATCCCATAGAATATAGTTGATTTCAGATTCCAATCCACCTCCCCGCCCTGTTCCAGCGTGTCCCCTCCCTGCTGACATTAAACATGGGGTAGTTTTTGCTCACTCCCGAGTGTGACCAGCAAACCCCTTCTGGTGGTGTCTTGCTTTCCTCTGTCCCCTGAGGTGTGTGGGGAGTCCATGTCACGGCCATTCTCTGAGAATGGCTGGAGGAGGTGGTTGGAAGAGTTATTCCTCCGCAGGGCTGCAGTGCGATCCCAGCCTCTGTCCCTGTCATTCCTTCCCTGCCAGAGGAGTCTCCCAAATCTCCCAATGAACAGGAAGGTCTCTGGGTCTTGTCCTCTGTCTTCTCAAGCCAGTCAGGCCAGTGGGCCTAAAGCCACTCCCTGTGTCCTCTCTAGTCATTTGCCCTTTGTATATGTATGACTCCAGAAGGCCCTTAAAGGGGGAGGAAAATCAGCTCCTCCCATTTTCCAGAACTGTTTCCCACCCCAGTCTGGGCTCACTATGAGGCCATTTGTGCCTGGCACTTGCTACCTAGATCCCTCCTCCTAGTCTTCCAGGGACAGCCTCAGGTGTAGTGACGCGGTATTAGTTCATCCTGAGATTTATCTTGTCTCAGGACCCAGGAGTCCCCTTCTCACCCTCTAGTGCCCTACAAAGGGGTTATAGCAGCCAGATATCCAACTGAAGACACTCATTGTCCCCTGCCCCTGAGATGCTTCTGTCTTGTGTTTGCACTGTCCATTTCAAGCAGATGTAGGGGGTCTCTGTACCCCACTCACGCACACAATGAGGCTGGATGGAAAGCAAAATGGTACTCCATGCAATTGCCTTTTGTTCAAAGTGGTGAGGTAGTAGCAAACCCCTATGATTATGTCTAAGTCAATTTATGACAGTCCTTCCCTACATGAGTATACATCCCCGTGACTCCATCCTCCTCAGATTCCGCTGGCCAATGGACTTCATGCATCCCTTTGCACATACCACATCCGAATCTCTGAAGACCTAGACACACGCTCAGACTCAGTCAGCCCTATGACCTCAGTGACACCTTCTGAGAATTGGGTCTTCACCTTCAGCAATGAAAATGACCTGGAGCTGGTAGAAGGTTATATTAGAATGTCAAGTGTTTCTACCACAGCAGAGCGCATGGCCCATCATTGTCCTAAGAAATCCTTGAAGTAGCACTGAGATGCTGGGCCACCACTGTGAAACTAGTCTGTACTCATTCTGCAAAGGAGGAAGCTACACACTAGTGAGTGGCTGCCAGGGATTCCCCCTCTCTGCAAAGTAGCACTCACCCACCTCCCATCTCCTCCTAGAGAGCCACACTGAATTGCTTCAAAATGTCTAGGCTACTTCCCCCAAGGTCCTGTGCCAGTGGAGACATAACTGACCTGCAGAACCCACTTTAATGGATGCTTCAACATCCCCTGTCCTAGCACAAACTCCGTGTGCTGTTGTCTGGCTTGGCATCTCATGGAGAAAAGTAAGCAAGACAACGAGGGTGGCTACATTCCTGGGTAGTCTGTTCATAGCTGGATTATCCTGGAGTGGGTTGTAGCAGCCTGAAATACAGAGCTGAGTCCTTTCTTAAACTATCATTTTACTATCAACAACCAGCTATCAGAAGACAATAGAGGTTGACAAGATGGCTCTGTTCATAAAGACTCTTATGCCAAAGGCTGCCTGCCTGAGTTTGATCTCTGGGACCCACATGATGTAAGAAGAGAAAGGACCCTCTCAAATCCTCCTGTAATTAATTCCATATATGTGTCATGACACACACATACTCCCACCACCCCAACACAAACTAAGTAAGTTAATTTAATTTTAAAAAATTTAAAGGTACACAGAAGAATATGAGAAATCTTTTCAGGGCATATATTTGATAAGGAAGTACTCTCTAAAACACAGCAAACTGCTGAACTCCAACAACCAAGAGTTAGATCACCTGGTTAGAAATGGGCAAATATTCTAAACCCTTATGCCTTTGAAGAAAATATGCAATGATTCATTTTGTAAAAAAAAAATACTATGACATTTATTTACACTGGCAGGAGGAGGACACATTTTGGCACATGTGAAGAGGCCAGAGGACAATTTTTGGAGTTAGTTCTATCTTCCAGTATGTGAGTCTTGGGGATCAAATTCAGGTCACCAGGCTCAATGGCAAACACCTTTCCCCACTGGCATCCCACATGCCCAGCGGTGGTTTTTAAGTACGTGAAAAAGAGCTTCATAACATTAATCATTGGGAAATGGAAATCAAAACTATAAGGAGACACCGCCTCCTAGCCTTCAAAATGATAACTACTGAAAAACAGAAATAGTTGATGGGGGATGTTCTTCTGTACATGGTTATCGAATAAAACACCAATTGGCCAGTAGAGGCAGGGACAGGTGGGGCTGAGAGATGAGGAGAATGTGAGGGAGAGGAAGAGAGGCACGGAGAGTGGACACCATGTAGAGACCAGAAAGATAGGATGTGCAAGTTGTTCTCTGGTAAGGTCGGCCATGTGGAAATACATAGATTAGTAGTTATGGGTTAATAATTAAGAGAGAGCTAGCCACCAAGAAGCCCTAGCCATCAGCCAACAGTTTTATAATCAATACGTGTGCTTATTTGGAGCTAAATCGGCGACAGGGTCTGGCAAGACAGAAACCTCCAGCTACAAACAGTCATTGTTGGGAGTGGGATATAAAGGAACGGAACACCTTTCATGGACAATGAGTAGTGAAAAGTAGTAAGGTGGCTCCTTACAAAAATGGGAAGTGAATTGCCAGCTTGCCCAGGAATCTCTCTCTGAGTTGGAGTTCACTTGTTTGTATTTGTGTTCATCAAAAGACTGGTGTAGTCAGAACTCCAGTGACCACCAGGAGTGGGATGTGATCGTGACAGGCTGATGGGATAAGCAGAAAATTTCTCAGTCCAAACATGTGTTATGTTGGAAGCACTCAAAACCTCTCCACTAGCTATTCAGGAGTCCTGAGCCAGTCACGATTGTCGGGCCATGCTAGAAAACATCAGCCATTCTTCCGGTTCTGGTTAATGACCCACGGTCTCCTCTCCCACACCCTTTCACCAGAACCTAGTATCCAACATCTCATGCTCTGCTTTGTACATCAACCTTTTAAACTTATACCTCTGGGCAAAAATACACAGTATCCATTTTCCCATGCTTGATGTGCAATCAATCAATATTTCACTGAACATGGTCTAGTCTAGACTCCATCATATTGCTGTGAATAACAAGGTTTTACTCATTTATTTTACAACTGGGTAACATTACATTGCTTTCTATGCCACGTTTTCCTTACTCACTCCCTTGTAGATGGTGCTTGATTTCTCATCTCCACCGTTGTGAGCTGTGCTTAGTCATGGAAGTGTGGGTGCCCATTTTACACGCGGATCTCCTTTCTTTCCTTCGGAATCAGCCCTGAGTCTTATGTCATACAGCTGTTGTATCTCTAGCTCCACCAGGGCCCCCAAGTTGCTGACTATAACATCTGTACAGATTGGTGGTTCCACCATTTTCACCTGTGACAGTATGATGTATCAGTTTGTTTGTTTTGATTAATCTTTTTAAAAGCATAGCCACTATAGCAAGTATAATAAGGAAGCTCACTATGAATGGGGTCTGCATGCCTGGGGATTCGTGCTGTGGAACATTTTCATTAATTGTTATTATATGCATATGTGCATATGGATATACATTAACCCACACATGTGTGTATGTACATATTAGTATGCATATGTGTATATATAAATATGCATATATATGTACATACACACACACACATATACTGTCATTTGTAGTACATCTTTCAGGACTGACCATGTATTCTTGACATTATTCCTTATGAATGAATAGCTGGTAATCTGTCCCATTCTGTAGATTGACTTTTCATGCTCTTAAGTGTTTTTTTTTTTGCTTTTTGAGTTTTTTTGATTTTGGGGTTTTGTTTGTTTGTTTTTGTTTTTTGTTTTTGCTGTAAAAGCTTTTTAGTGTCACATTATATCATTTATTGTCTGTGCTTTTAGGGTTATATCAAACAAATTCTTTGCACAGATTAGTATCTTGAACCATTTCTTTATGTTTTCTTCTAGTAGTTCCATAGTTTATGTCTTAAAAGTGCCTCATCGCTGGAATTTTGATACTCATGGTATGGGTATTTAACAATATGTATTTTAACTCATAAATAGGGATGTCTTTGCAATATTTGCATTTTCTTCGGTTTCTTTCATTATAATCCCACTGATTTATAGTTTTCATTATAGAGTATTTTCGCCTCAGTTAAATTTATTTCTGGGTTTCTATTATTGCTGGATTTTTAAGCTATGGTAGACAGGATGGCCTTTCATTTTTCCTTTTAACTAAATTCATTGTTGATATGTAGAAATGCTGGCATTTCCCACGTCACTCTTATAGCCTGTGTCTTCACTAAGTACATTCTTCTTACACGTTTTCATTCGTTTTTCTAGGGTTTTCAATATAAATATAAGATCAAATGACCTGCAAGCAAGGACAACTTGACTTACTACTCCACAGTTTAGGTGCCCTTTGTCCCTCTCTCTCCTAACCGTTCTGGCTGGGACTGGCAATGCTGTATGTTCAACAGAGCAGGAACGCTGACTTCCTTGCCTTGTTCCTGGTCTCAGAGCAAGTGCTCTCAGTTATAAAACATCACTTTCCTGTTCATTATAATTTTGTCATCTCTGCCCACAATTGTGCTAGTGTTATGAGTAAGGTCCGCCCCCCCCCCCCCCCGCCGCCAGTCCCACAGCCATGCCAGCCCCAATTAACATACAGAGACGCTGTATTAGATATAAATGCTGTTGGCCAGTTACTTGTTTCTTATTGGCTAGCTCTGTCTTAATTATTAACCCATTTCTATTAATCTTACCAGTCTCATCTTACTCGAGAGTGGGCCAGGACCTCTGTTCTCTCCAGTCTCTACATGCTGACTCCTCCTCACTACTTCCTCGAATCCTCCTTGTCCCCTAGTCCCACCTATCTTGCTTTCCTATTGGCCAACAGTGCTTTATTCAATAACCAGTATGAGAAATATATTTACAGACTGACATCTCCCATCATGCTGGAACGTGTTCTTTCTGTTAGTTGGGTAATTAGCCTCGGGTCCTGAGGAACTGAGTCAGGCTGTGCAAGTTGTGGCTTCTCGCTGTTCCAATGAAGCAGTCTCATACTGCTGAGACCAAGTCTGTCTGCCTCTGTTTCCTTTGTCTTACATCTGGTGCCTAAACCCAGAACCCCTTAAGGGTCCTCCAAGAAGAAAGCACTCCCCTCCCCTGGGATCACATCTCTGGGAGCACGGATACATTCCAAGCTCACTTGACAGGCTAAATGCCATTATTCCACCCCGAGACCTCTGGTCTTTGTGGCCTCTGTCTTCAGGAGTAATATGGATCCCATTATTGGATGCTTTATGTCAACTGGTGTGGTAGTTTCAATAAGAATGGCCCCTATAGGCTCAGAAGGTTGAATGCTTAGTTATCAGGGAGAGGCAATTCTTGGGAGGGATTAATGAGTGTGGCCTTATTGGAGGAAATGTGTCATTTGGGAGTGTGCTTTGAGCTTTCAAAAGCTCAAGCCAGGCCTAGTGACTCTCTCCCTTCCTGCTGCTTTCAGATACAGATGTAGAACTCTCAGCTACCACATCTGCCTGCACAACACCAAGCTCCCTGCCATGAGGATACTGGACTAAACCCCTGGAACTGTAAGCCAGCCCCAATTAAATGCTTTCTTTTTATAAGAGTTGCTGTGTGTGGTCCAGGACAACAAAAGGACTCCAAGAAGAGTCCCAGTGAGGGCTCAGTATTGAGAGTGTAGCAGAAACCAGAGGCCTTGAACCAGACTGAGAACCCCTTGCAGTAAACATTTGCAAGTGAAATGTATGGACCAAAGGGTTTGCTATGACTCATTGCATCACTCTACAGCTTCCACAACGTGACTTTTCTTTCGTTTCTCTTTTAAGATGCAAGGACAGAGGGTAGATGCAAAGGGATGGGGAGATGGATGAAAGGGGTAGGGGAGAGTTGCTGAGGTCATGGTGTCTCTTCAAACCTGATTAAGACCCCCAGCTTGACCTTAATCCTCTGCTTTCCTCTGAGTCCTCCCCATCCATCCTCCTCTGACCTGTTCCTCCCGGGCTCTCTGATCTCC